CTACGAATAGACACACTCCAGGCCCTACGAATATACACACTCCAGGCCCTACGAATATACACACTCCAGGCCCTACGAATAGACACACTCCAGGCCCTACGAATATACACACTCCAGGCCCTACGAATAGACACACTCCAGGCCCTACGAATAGACACACTCCAGGCCCTACGAATAGACACACTCCAGGCCCTACGAATAGACACACTCCAGGCCCTACGAATAGACACACTCCAGGCCCTACGAATAGACACACTCCAGGCCCTACGAATAGACACACTCCAGGCCCTACGAATAGACACACTCCAGGCCCTACGAATAGACACACTCCAGGCCCTACGAATAGACACACTCCAGGCCCTACGAATAGACACACTCCAGGCCCTACGAATATACACACTCCAGGCCCTACGAATATACACACTCCAGGCCCTACGAATATACACACTCCAGGCCCTACGAATAGACACACTCCAGGCCCTACGAATATACACACTCGAGGCCCTACGAATAGACACACTCCAGGCCCTATGAATATACACACTCCAGGCCCTACGAATAGACACACTCCAGGCCCTACGAATAGACACACTCCAGGCCCTACGAATAGACACACTCCAGGCCCTACGAATAGACACACTCCAGGCCCTACGAATAGACACACTCCAGGCCCTACGAATATACACACTCCAGGCCCTACGAATATACACACTCCAGGCCCTACGAATAGACACACTCCAGGCCCTACGAATAGACACACTCCAGGCCCTACGAATATACACACTCCAGGCCCTACGAATAGACACACTCCAGGCCCTACGAATAGACACACTCCAGGCCCTACGAATAGACACACTCCAGGCCCTACGAATAGACACACTCCAGGCCCTACGAATATACACACTCCAGGCCCTACGAATATACACACTCCAGGCCCTACGAATATACACACTCCAGGCCCTACGAATAGACACACTCCAGGCCCTACGAATATACACACTCCAGGCCCTACGAATATACACACTCCAGGCCCTACGAATATACACACTCCAGGCCCTACGAATAGACACACTCCAGGCCCTACGAATATACACACTCCAGGCCCTACGAATAGACACACTCCAGGCCCTACGAATAGACACACTCCAGGCCCTACGAATAGACACACTCCAGGCCCTACGAATAGACACACTCCAGGCCCTACGAATAGACACACTCCAGGCCCTACGAATAGACACACTCCAGGTCCTACGAATATACACACTCCAGGCCCTACGAATATACACACTCCAGGCCCTACGAATAGACACACTCCAGGCCCTACGAATATACACACTCCAGGCCCTACGAATAGACACACTCCAGGCCCTACGAATAGACACACTCCAGGCCCTACGAATAGACACACTCCAGGCCCTACGAATAGACACACTCCAGGCCCTACGAATAGACACACTCCAGGCCCTACGAATATACACACTCCAGGCCTACGAATATACACACTCCAGGCCCTACGAATAGACACACTCCAGGCCCTACGAATATACACACTCCAGGCCCTACGAATAGACACACTCCAGGCCCTACGAATAGACACACTCCAGGCCCTACGAATAGACACACTCCAGGCCCTACGAATAGACACACTCCAGGCCCTACGAATAGACACACTCCAGGCCCTACGAATAGACACACTCCAGGCCCTACGAATAGACAAACTCCAGGCCCTACGAATAGACACACTCCAGGCCCTACGAATAGACACACTCCAGGCCCTACGAATAGACACACTCCAGGCCCTACGAATATACACACTCCAGGCCCTACGAATATACACACTCCAGGCCCTACGAATATACACACTCCAGGCCCTACGAATAGACACACTCCAGGCCCTACGAATATACACACTCGAGGCCCTACGAATAGACACACTCCAGGCCCTATGAATATACACACTCCAGGCCCTACGAATAGACACACTCCAGGCCCTACGAATAGACACACTCCAGGCCCTACGAATAGACACACTCCAGGCCCTACGAATAGACACACTCCAGGCCCTACGAATAGACACACTCCAGGCCCTACGAATATACACACTCCAGGCCCTACGAATATACACACTCCAGGCCCTACGAATAGACACACTCCAGGCCCTACGAATAGACACACTCCAGGCCCTACGAATATACACACTCCAGGCCCTACGAATAGACACACTCCAGGCCCTACGAATAGACACACTCCAGGCCCTACGAATAGACACACTCCAGGCCCTACGAATAGACACACTCCAGGCCCTACGAATATACACACTCCAGGCCCTACGAATATACACACTCCAGGCCCTACGAATATACACACTCCAGGCCCTACGAATAGACACACTCCAGGCCCTACGAATATACACACTCCAGGCCCTACGAATAGACACACTCCAGGCCCTACGAATAGACACACTCCAGGCCCTACGAATATACACACTCCAGGCCCTACGAATATACACACTCCAGGCCCTACGAATAGACACACTCCAGGCCCTACGAATAGACACACTCCAGGCCCTACGAATAGACACACTCCAGGCCCTACGAATAGACACACTCCAGGCCCTACGAATAGACACACTCCAGGCCCTACGAATAGACACACTCCAGGCCCTACGAATAGACACACTCCAGGCCCTACGAATAGACACACTCCAGGCCCTACGAATAGACACACTCCAGGCCCTACGAATAGACACACTCCAGGCCCTACGAATAGACACACTCCAGGCCCTACGAATAGACACACTCCAGGCCCTACGAATAGACACACTCCAGGCCCTACGAATAGACACACTCCAGGCCCTACGAATAGACACACTCCAGGCCCTACGAATAGACACACTCCAGGCCCTACGAATAGACACACTCCAGGCCCTACGAATAGACACACTCCAGGCCCTACGAATAGACACACTCCAGGCCCTACGAATAGACACACTCCAGGCCCTACGAATAGACACACTCCAGGCCCTACGAATAGACACACTCCAGGCCCTACGAATAGACACACTCCAGGCCCTACGAATAGACACACTCCAGGCCCTACGAATATACACACTCCAGGCCCTACGAATAGACACACTCCAGGCCTACGAATATACACACTCCAGGCCCTACGAATAGACACACTCCAGGCCCTACGAATAGACACACTCCAGGCCCTACGAATAGACACACTCCAGGCCCTACGAATAGACACACTCCAGGCCCTACGAATAGACACACTCCAGGCCCTACGAATAGACACACTCCAGGCCCTACGAATAGACACACTCCAGGCCCTACGAATAGACACACTCCAGGCCCTACGAATATACACACTCCAGGCCCTACGAATAGACACACTCCAGGCCCTACGAATATACACACTCCAGGCCCTACGAATAGACACACTCCAGGCCCTATGAATATACACACTCCAGGCCCTATGAATATACACACTCCAGGCCCTATGAATATACACACTCCAGGCCCTATGAATATACACACTCCAGGCCCTATGAATATACACACTCCAGGCCCTACGAATATACACACTCCAGGCCCTACGAATAGACACACTCCAGGCCCTACGAATATACACACTCCAGGCCCTACGAATAGACACACTCCAGGCCCTACGAATAGACACACTCCAGGCCCTACGAATATACACACTCCAGGCCCTACGAATAGACACACTCCAGGCCCTACGAATAGACACACTCCAGGCCCTACGAATAGACACACTCCAGGCCCTACGAATAGACACACTCCAGGCCCTATGAATATACACACTCCAGGCCCTATGAATATACACACTCCAGGCCCTATGAATATTCACACTCCAGGCCCTATGAATATACACACTCCAAGCCCTACGAATATACACACTCCAGGCCCTATGAATATACACACTCCAGGCCCTACGAATAGACACACTCCAGGCCCTACGAATATACACACTCCAGGCCCTATGAATATACACACTCCAGGCCCTATGAATATACACACTCCAGGCCCTATGAATATACACACTCCAGGCCCTACGAATAGACACACTCCAGGCCCTACGAATAGACACACTCCAGGCCCTATGAATATACACACTCCAGGCCCTATGAATATACACACTCTAGGCCCTATGAATATACACACTCCAGGCCCTATGAATATACACACTCCAGGCCCTATGAATATACACACTCCAGGCCCTACGAATATACACACTCCAGGCCCTACGAATATACACACTCCAGGCCCTACGAATATACACACTCCTCTCCTCGCCCCCCCCCACACGCCAGGGGGCACATCGCTGGCACTGCACTGTCGCAGAGCCCTCCCATCCCATGTGCTCATTGCTCCCATCCCATGTGCTCATTGCTCCCATCCCATGTGCTCATTGCTCATTTCCAGCAATAGACCATCTGTTCTGTACATCGCTGCCACCGCGGCCGAGCCCTCCCACGTGCTCGTTCATGTCTGACCCCCGTGGATTCAATATCCCCCTCCCCTCTCTCGCATTCCTCAACCCACCCCACCAGGTGCGAGCATGCTGGTCCCTCTTACCGGTTCCATGTACATCGCTGGCACCGTTGCTGAGCCCTCCCACGTGCTCATTGATGTCCGCTGTTGAGGCTCAGGCTCAGCTGTAGGCCATCTGTCGTATCAATCCCCCCCCATCCCCTCCCTTTTCCATCCCCACCCCGCCCCACCAGGTGCGAGCATGCTGGTGCCTTTGACCGGTTCCATCCATGTACATCGCTGGCTCAGCAATTCTCCCCTCCCACCTCTCCCCATTCCACCCCGCCCCACCAGGTGCGAGCATGCTGGTGCCCTTGACCGGCTCCATGTACAATAGACCATCTGAGCTGAGGTGCCAGTCAGCAATGCACCTCTTTCAACTTAAGATCTGCCCACGCCCCCTCCCTCTTTTGTTCCTCGCCCCGCCCCACCCCGTGACAGGTCAGAGCATGCTGGTGCCCCTCACCGGCTCCATGTACATCGCTGGGACCGTCGCTGAGCCCTCCCACGTGCTCATTGACGTCGGCGCCGGCTACTATATCGAGGTGACTGTAGCGAGGTGACTGTATTGAGGTGACTGTATCGAGGTGAGTATAGCGAGGTGACTGTAGCGAGGTGACCAGTCTCGAGGTGATTACATCAAGTTGATTATCGGGAGATGACTATATCGAGGTGATTGTATTGAGGTGACTATGTTGAGCTGATTATTGACTAAATCAAGTTCATTACAACGAGGTGATGTTAAGCCCTGTTCAAGATTCCATGCACAGTGCTGCTGTTGGGCCTCCGCCCTGCATGTCTGCTCCGCTCGTTATAACACTATCCCGCATTCCCCCCTGTGCTCCCTTTGGACTTGCTGAACACTGTGCGTGGGGTGCATGGGGTCCCTTGTCGTCATGTGTGTCATGGTGTTGCGCTGCCTGGGTGACCCATGTGTGTATGTGCATGTGCTGCATGTGCTGCATGTGCTGCATGTGGTGCATGTGCTGCATGTGCTGCATGTGCTGCATGTGGTGCATGTGCTGCATGTGCTGCATGTGGTGCATGTGGTGCATGTGGTGCATGTGCTGCATGTGGTGCATGTGGTGCATGTGGTGCATGTGGTGCATGTGCTGCATGTGGTGCATGTGGTGCATGTGCTGCATGTGCTGCATGTGGTGCATGTGCTGCATGTGCTGCATGTGCTGCATGTGGTGCATGTGCTGCATGTGCTGCATGTGGTGCATGTGCTGCATGTGCTGCATGTGCTGCATGTGCTGCATGTGGTGCATGTGGTGCATGTGCTGCATGTTCTGCATGTGCTGCATGTGGTGCATGTGCTGCATGTGCTGCATGTGCTGCATGTGCTGCATGTGGTGCATGTGCTGCATGTGCTGCATGTGCTGCATGTGCTGCATGTGCTGCATGTGCTGCATGTGGTGCATGTGCTGCATGTGCTGCATGTGCTGCATGTGGTGCATGTGCTGCATGTGCTGCATGTGGTGCATGTGGTGCATGTGCTGCATGTGCTGCATGTGCTGCATGTGCTGCATGTGGTGCATGTGGTGCATGTGCTGCATGTGCTGCATGTGCTGCATGTGCTGCATGTGGTGCATGTGCTGCATGTGCTGCATGTGCTGCATGTGCTGCATGTGGTGCATGTGCTGCATGTGCTGCATGTGCTGCATGTGGTGCATGTGCTGCATGTGGTGCATGTGCTGCATGTGCTGCATGTGCTGCATGTGGTGCATGTGCTGCATGTGCTGCATGTGCTGCATGTGCTGCATGTGGTGCATGTGCTGCATGTGCTGCATGTTCTGCATGTGCTGCATGTGCTGCATGTGCTGCATGTGCTGCATGTGCTGCATGTGGTGCATGTGGTGCATGTGCTGCATGTGCTGCATGTGCTGCATGTGCTGTATGTGGTGCATGTGCTGCATGTGCTGCATGTGCTGCATGTGCTGCATGTGCTGCATGTGCTGCATGTGCTGCATGTGGTGCATGTGCTGCATGTGCTGCATGTGCTGCATGTTCTGCATGTGGTGCATGTGGTGCATGTGGTGCATGTGCTGCATGTGCTGCATGTGCTGCATGTGGTGCATGTGCTGCATGTGCTGCATGTGCTGCATGTGCTGCATGTGCTGCATGTGGTGCATGTGGTGCATGTGGTGCATGTGCTGCATGTGCTGCATGTGCTGCATGTGGTGCATGTGCTGCATGTGCTGCATGTGCTGCATGTGCTGCATGTGCTGCATGTGGTGCATGTGGTGCATGTGCTGCATGTGCTGTATGTGCTGCATGTGCTGCATGTGGTGCATGTGCTGCATGTGCTGCATGTGGTGCATGTGCTGCATGTGGTGCATGTGGTGCATGTGCTGCATGTGCTGCATGTGGTGCATGTGCTGCATGTGCTGTATGTGCTGCATGTGGTGCATGTGGTGCATGTGGTGCATGTGCTGCATGTGGTGCATGTTCTGCATGTGGTGCATGTGGTGCATGTGGTGCATGTGCTGCATGTGGTGCATGTGGTGCATGTGCTGCATGTGCTGCATGTGGTGCATGTGCTGCATGTGCTGCATGTGCTGCATGTGCTGCATGTGGTGCATGTGCTGCATGTGCTGCATGTGGTGCATGTGCTGCATGTGCTGCATGTGCTGCATGTGCTGTATGTGCTGCATGTGCTGCATGTTCTGCATGTGCTGCATGTGCTGCATGTGCTGCATGTGGTGCATGTGGTGCATGTGCTGCATGTGCTGCATGTTCTGCATGTGCTGCATGTGCTGCATGTGGTGCATGTGGTGCATGTGGTGCATGTGCTGCATGTGCTGCATGTGGTGCATGTGCTGCATGTGGTGCATGTGGTGCATGTGCTGCATGTGCTGCATGTGCTGCATGTGCTGCATGTGCTGCATGTGCTGCATGTGGTGCATGTGGTGCATGTGCTGCATGTGCTGTATGTGCTGCATGTGCTGCATGTGGTGCATGTGCTGCATGTGGTGCATGTGCTGCATGTGCTGCATGTGGTGCATGTGGTGCATGTTCTGCATGTGCTGCATGTGCTGCATGTGCTGCATGTGGTGCATGTGGTGCATGTGCTGCATGTCCTGCATGTTCTGCATGTGCTGCATGTGGTGCATGTGCTGCATGTGCTGCATGTGCTGCATGTGCTGCATGTTCTGCATGTGGTGCATGTGCTGCATGTGCTGTATGTGCTGCATGTGCTGCATGTTCTGCATGTGCTGCATGTGCTGCATGTGGTGCATGTGGTGCATGTGCTGCATGTGCTGCATGTGCTGCATGTGCTGCATGTGGTGCATGTGGTGCATGTGCTGCATGTGCTGTATGTGCTGCATGTGCTGCATGTGGTGCATGTGCTGCATGTGCTGCATGTGGTGCATGTGGTGCATGTGGTGCATGTGCTGCATGTGCTGCATGTGGTGCATGTGGTGCATGTGCTGCATGTGCTGCATGTTCTGCATGTGCTGCATGTGCTGCATGTTCTGCATGTGGTGCATGTGGTGCATGTGGTGCATGTGGTGCATGTGCTGCATGTCCTGCATGTTCTGCATGTGCTGCATGTGGTGCATGTGCTGCATGTGCTGCATGTGCTGCATGTGGTGCATGTGCTGCATGTGCTGCATGTGCTGCATGTGGTGCATGTGCTGCATGTGGTGCATGTGCTGCATGTGCTGCATGTGGTGCATGTGGTGCATGTTCTGCATGTGCTGCATGTGCTGCATGTGCTGCATGTGGTGCATGTGGTGCATGTGCTGCATGTGCTGCATGTGCTGCATGTGCTGCATGTGGTGCATGTTCTGCATGTGCTGCATGTGCTGCATGTGCTGCATGTGCTGCATGTGCTGCATGTGGTGCATGTTCTGCATGTGCTGCATGTGCTGCATGTGCTGCATGTGCTGCATGTGCTGCATGTGGTGCATGTTCTGCATGTGCTGCATGTGCTGCATGTGCTGCATGTGCTGCATGTTCTGCATGTGCTGCATGTGCTGCATGTGCTGCATGTGCTGCATGTGGTGCATGTTCTGCATGTGCTGCATGTGCTGCATGTGCTGCATGTGCTGCATGTGCTGCATGTGGTGCATGTGGTGCATGTGGTGCATGTGCTGCATGTGGTGCATGTGCTGCATGTGCTGCATGTGCTGCATGTTCTGCATGTGGTGCATGTTCTGCATGTGCTGCATGTGCTGCATGTGCTGCATGTGCTGCATGTGCTGCATGTGGTGCATGTGGTGCATGTGGTGCATGTGCTGCATGTGGTGCATGTGCTGCATGTGCTGCATGTGCTGCATGTGCTGCATGTGCTGCATGTTCTGCATGTCCTGCATGTTCTGCATGTGCTGCATGTGCTGCATGTGCTGCATGTGCTGCATGTGGTGCATGTTCTGCATGTGCTGCATGTGCTGCATGTGCTGCATGTGCTGCATGTGCTGCATGTGGTGCATGTGGTGCATGTGGTGCATGTGCTGCATGTGGTGCATGTGCTGCATGTGCTGCATGTGCTGCATGTGCTGCATGTGGTGCATGTGCTGCATGTGCTGCATGTGCTGCATGTTCTGCATGTGGTGCATGTGCTGCATGTGCTGCATGTGCTGCATGTTCTGCATGTGGTGCATGTGGTGCATGTGGTGCATGTGCTGCATGTGGTGCATGTGCTGCATGTGCTGCATGTGCTGCATGTGCTGCATGTGGTGCATGTTCTGCATGTGCTGCATGTGCTGCATGTGGTGCATGTGGTGCATGTGCTGCATGTGCTGCATGTGCTGCATGTTCTGCATGTGGTGCATGTGGTGCATGTGGTGCATGTTCTGCATGTGGTGCATGTTCTGCATGTTCTGCATGTGCTGCATGTGGTGCATGTGCTGCATGTGCTGCATGTGCTGCATGTGCTGCATGTGCTGCATGTGCTGCATGTGCTGCATGTGGTGCATGTGGTGCATGCATGCCGGGCTGGGCGGTAACAGAAGTCAGTGGAGGAGGCGATGGGGTACTGCATGCGCAAGGCGGAGCTGCTCAGAGCCAACCACGACAAGTTCAGTGAGGTGCGCCTCTCCTCCCTCCTCCCTCCTCCCTCCTCCCTCCTCCCTCCTCCCTCCTCCCTCCTCCCTCCTCCCTCCTCCCTCCTCCCTCCTCCCTCCTCCCTCCTCCCTCCTCCCTCCTCCCTCCTCCCTCCTCCCTCCTCCCTCCTCCCTCCTCCCTCCTCCCTCCTCCCTCCTCCCTCCTCCCTCCTCCCTCCTCTGCCAACCCTCTGCCTACCTACCTGGGCCATATTCTCGCAAGGCGGAGCTTCTTAGAGCCGACCACGACAAGTTCAGCGAGGTGCGCACCTTCCTTCCTTACCCCCCGCCCATGCATGCTGCACGCCCTCCCACCCTCGCCCATGCCCCATGCCTTGCACACCACACCCCACTGTACTGCATGCGCAAGGCGGAGCTGCTCAGAGCCAACCACGACAAGTTCAGCGAGGTGCGGCGCCCCTCCCTTCCTGCCTCCCTCTGCACCTCCTTGGTGTCAGTACGGTGGGTGGTGCATTCTCCCATCTCCAATCCTGTTCCCACCTCCCTCTCTCGCCCCCTCAGTCCCACTATCTTTCAATTCCACGCCACATGTTTGTCCCCCACTCCACCCAATTCTATGAGCAGGCAGCAGATGCAGCTACTGGAGGAGGTGCCAACGGTGCTGCGGACCAGCCACACCCCACTGCACTGCACCACACCACACATCACATCCCTTCTGTCCCACCCCACCCCACCCGTGGCAGGTGGCACGCGCCAAGAGGCAGCTACTGGAGGAGGTGCCAACGGTGCTGCGGACCAGCCACACCCCACTGCACCGCACCACACCACACATCACATCCCTTCTGTCCCACCCCACCCCACCCGTGGCAGGTGGCACGCGCCAAGAGGCAGCTACTGGAGGAGGTGACGATGGTGCTGCAGGCCAAGGTGAGGGCAGCCGTGCAGCAGCAGGGCGGGGGAGCAGCAGGTGCCGCAGGGGGGCCAGCACAGGCAGGCAGGATACAGGCAGCTGCCTCGTGAGCTGTGTGCTGTGTGCCTGGTCCTGGCTGCACGTCAACCATGCTGCCGTGCGCCTTTACCGGATGGCGTGTCGGTGAATCATTTTGGCTGTTAGCAAGGCATGGGTCTGCTCTGCAGCTGATGCACTTGCTCCTCTATATGTAGGTAGGCAGTCCCAGCTGGGGCAAGCAGTACCTACCTAGTGAATGAGAACCCCCTGCCCCTGCCCCTGCTACCACTATTGTGGGAATAGCGTAGCTCAATGCACTCGTAAATTGATTCTAGAGGGCACTTGAACTTGTGCACTTGAATATCTTACAGCATAGGGAGTTAACTTGTACCCTTCGTAACTTGCTCCATTATTATGCAGGCACAGTTCTGTATGTTCAACCATCTGTCCTTTTCAAGATAAGCCAGCTTCTGGTTCGAGCAGACAGTGCGTGGAGCGTTCTAAGCCGCATCAAAACTCAACGCAAACGACAAACGACAAGGTATGCCTACAGATACAGAACCTACAGCACCCATATCGTGCACTTCCGGCTCCTAACATAAATCTACATTCATTTGCTCCTAGCTCAGGCAGCTGCTTATGTGATCCAACAACGTGTCCCTGCACCTGTCTTGCAATGCTACATTTCCAATGGCTCTCCAAAAGGAACCTAGCTCAGCCAGCTGGTGATCTGAGCAGACAGAGTCCGCTTGTGCAGCGTGATCGGCGCCGCAAACGACCCGGCGTCACTCACTCGCCTCCTCCTTGCCGGCTGTCACCGTGGGCCAGTTGAAGAGGCCGCTGCCAATCCAAGTCCCTGCTGCTGCTGTGCCCCCAGCCAAAGCTCCTGCTGCTCCTAACTCAGCCAGCTGGTGATGTGAGCCGAGAGCGTGCGCTTGTGCCGTGTGATCGGCGCCGCAAACGACCCGGCGTCACTGGCCTCCTGCACATCGGGCAGGTCGGGCTTCCACATGGCGGCACGCCTCTCCTCCATACCAGCACTGGCAAGGACAGCTCCCATACCATGCTCTTATTCGCTCGTGAATCATTGCTCCTTCCTAGCTCAGCCAGCTGGTGATGTGAGCCGAGAGCGTGCGCTTGTGCCGGGTAATCGGCGCCGCAAACGACCCGGCATCACTCGCCTCCTGCACGTCAGGCAGGTCGGGCCTCCACATCACAGCGCGCCGCTCCTCCTTGCCCGCTGTCACCGTGGACCAGTTGAAGAGGCACTCCCCGTTCAGCACCTCCACTCTCCGCCTGAACGCCGCCACCGCCGCCTGCCACTCTACGTCCTCCGCTGCTGCTCCACCCGGCGTGCCATGCACAGCCTTGCCGCTGCTGCTGCCCACCATACTGTCGTCCACGGCTCGCCTGGGCCTGCCAGGGCGGGAGGGGGCGTCCAGGGAAATGGCGTGCAGCAGGCGCCTCAATGGGCTGCGGTCCTGGCCTCTGCCCTCCTGGCCATGGCCACTGCCGTCCTCCTTGGGATTGTCGGCCTCACTGCCCTTGCTGTCCAGGGAGATGGCATGCAGCAGCCGCCTCAGCGGGCTGCGCTCTCGCCCTCTGCCCTCACTGCCACTGCCCTGCTTCAACTTGTCGCCCTCATTGCCCTTGTCACGTGCCTTGCACTTCACCTCACTGCGTGCCTCTTCCCTGCCCCTGTGCTGCCCCTGCTGCACCTGCAGCTGTTTTCGCTGCTGCTCTTGTTGCCCCTGCTGCTGCCCCTGCAGCTGTTTTCGCTGCTGCTCTTGTTGCCCCTGCTGCTGCCCCTGCTGCCCCTGCTCCCCATGCCGCACCCACTCCCTCCCATCACCATCACACCACATCTCTGTGTCCATCTCTCCCCTTCCTTCCTCATCACTCACAGGGCGAGGGCTCACAGAACGAGGGCTCACAGAGCAAGGGCTCATCGAGGCCCCGTGGTACCGCCCGTGCGCGTCACCGTGAGGAGGAGAGCGGTATTGCCCCGCGGTAGCACCCCTTCCTTCCTCATCGTTAACCGTTCGAGGGCTCACAGGGCAAGGGCTCATCGAGGCTCCGTGGTGACACCCATGCGCATCACCGTGAGGGGCGGAGGAGTGAGAGGGGGCGGCAGCGTGGGGGGGAGAGTGCTGCGAGGGGGTAGCGGAGGCGGTGCAGCGCTGGGAAGGCGGAGGGGAAGAAGAGTGGGCGGGCCTGGTGAGAAAGAGCACGGGCGTGGGGGGGTGCAGCATGGGGGGGCGGGGCTCAGGGTGCTGCTGCCAGGCATGCTCCCCCTGGTCAAACGCCATGCAGGGCGGGCTGAAACTGCTGCCAGGCGCCATGCGGGGCGGGCTGAAGCTGCTTCTCCTGGGCACAGCCGAGGGCGGCCGTGCCAGGTCAGGGCTGCGCTGCCCCTCCGCCCCCACACCCATGCCTCCCATACTGCCCACGCCACTCATGCCACCCATATTGCCACTGCTGCCCATGCTATTGCTGCTGTCTGCTGCATGCACTCGCTGGGACGTGGGGCTTCGGCCTCCCTTTGGACTCCTTCCCCATAAAGGACTCCGCCCGCTCAACGGACTCAGCTGCCTCATCCTCTCCACCAGTGCTTCCGCCCACCCCTGCTCGCCCTTCCCCTCACCCCGCATCTCTCCCCCTCCCTCCTCCCCGTTGCCCCTCCCCCTGTCCGCCTCCGCCATGCCCAGCACCCTCTGTGCGCCAATGAGCGCCTCTACCGCGTCCAGCGCGGCCACTCCCCCAACACCCCCCCCACTCGAGTGCCTGCGCCCGTGGCTGCGCGTCAGCGGGCTGCTCCCCGCCCCCGCCCCCGCCCCCGCCCCTGCCCAGGCGCCTGCCTGCGCCGCCGCGCCCTTCTCCCTGCCCCACTCCCCGCCGGGGGTCCTGGGCCTCAGCGCGCTTTCGCAGAGCGGCGCGGGCGCCTTGCTGTATGAAATGGGCAGCGCCCCGCGCAACGGACTCACGTGCGCGCTGCCATACGGGCTGACATGCGGCGTTGCGTGGGCGCTCCCCAGCGGAGTCACATGCGCGCTGCGCCATCGCCCGTCCCCCGCCTTCCCCCCGTCCTCGTCTCCCCCCCACGCCTCTTCCGCGAGTCCCCCTATCTCCTCCGGACTTCCGCTCAGCGATTTGCACGGGCGGTGCATGCCGCGCCTGGACCGCCGCAGCGCGGGCACCATCACCCGCGCGGGGGAAGCCGCCAGCCCCGCGCGCAGCGCCTCCCTCGCGTGGCTCTGCCCCGTCTTCCCGTTCGGCGCCATCCCGCCCGTCTCTCCCGCGCGCCGCCTGCTCGCCCCGCCATCCGCGTGAGCAGGGGAGTGCGCACCTGTGGCGAACGGCGCTGGAGCGGCGGCGGCGGAGATGCGCGCGTGTGGCGGAGAGGCGTCGGGGGAAACGTCGGGGAGCGCGCTGGTGCTGTGATTGACGCGATGGCGGGGCCTCACGAAAATAGTGACGCGGGGCGGGGACCGCGCGGGCACGTGCACCAGTGGAGGAACCGCGGAGTGCGGATGCGCGGAGGGCGGAGATAAATTGCGCTGTAGGGGGACGGGCCGACGGGGAGGACGGGCGGGAGCTGTTTAAGCGGGGGGCGTCAAAATCTAGTGTAATATATTGAGGCGCCTCAAAGTGATCGCTACGCTCGATGCTTCGATGCAAATCTCGAGTTGACAGCGTTCACAGGATTCGTTCGAAGCCCAATTTGCGCCTCGCTCAATCTTGTGCTTGAAGAACGAGAAGCAACTCTCACCGTTCGTTCAACAGCACCGCAGAACCCGCTCGTAACCTCACCTCGTTCCTGCCGTTGGCGGAAGGCGTCTTGCGCAAATCCCGCGGAGGCTTCCGCCCCGCCGTCCCGCCTTCGTCCACGTGCGCGCACTCCGCTCCGCCCGTCACTCCGCCCTTCCCTTGCGCCTTCCGCACGAGGTGGTAACAACGTCCCGGCTTCAGAACCCGCCCGGGCGGCAGCGGCCCCTCGCGCTTCGCGAAAAGCGAGGCGCTACTGGCGTCGGCGGGCGAAAAGACCGCGTGGTTCGGGTAGTGGCGGACGACGCTCTCGACGTACACGGGGCCCATCAGCACGTCCACGATCGTGTCGCCCATTTTCAGCACAACCTTGTCTTTTAGCGCCATGTTCTGCGCGCTGCTGTGGGTAGAGTATGATTTTACTGTGCTATGGAATGGTGAAGTGTCGGTTGGAAGAGAAATCATCAAGTATGTACGTATATGTCTGATCTTGAACGATTACAGCAGATGAGAGGTCAGTGAGAGATGGTTTATGTCGGGGAATCGATTGTGAGGGCGTGTTTGCAAAATGCAGGGGTTCAAGAAACGGAAAGCGGACAAACCTACGACCCCACCAACTTTTAGGAGATGTCCACTGCTGCAGGGGACGGGGGGGGGTCGGGCAAGCTTCGTTGTGTTGTGCGGCGGGCAAATCGGACCGGTTAGGGTGGCGCGTCCACGTGCAAACGCACATGCCACTGCCGAGGAGATGAGTTGAGTGGATGGAACATGGAACATTGCATGGCATGACGACGGCTGATGCCTGCTCTGACTCGGACCGCGACAATTTCGCCAGCTGCGCTCGGCATGTTTCGCCAGCTATTCTGCTTTCGCCACGAATGAATGTCAATGGTCGGAGCCGCGTGTTGCGAAGCACAGTAACACGCGTCGTTACCAAATTCTCACAGCGGCTTGGAGTGGATGGCAGCTGGTTGAAAATGGTTGACGAGCGGATTCAGCAAACACGAAAGCTCTAAGAAATGTCCCTGTTTAAAGCCGGCGGCCCAAATTGTTCATGCTTTTAAAACCAGGGTGCACATTCAATTGGATTTCTGTCAAAGGTTAACCTTTGACCTCGGGGTTACTCAGTGATTTAGGAATATCTGGGGGGAGTGTTCGCTTCAGCAGGTGAACATTTGAACCCTCGAGATTTGGCAAATGTAAACCGAAGTCATCGAATGTGCTTCCGCCAATTCGTTTCCCCCCTCCCCATACCTATTCCGCTCCCACCGAAATTGTTTCCCCTTCCCCCACAATATCGTCTCACCCCCTTTCCCCTTTCCGCCAACCCAGTTGCCCTCCCCTTGATCCCCAATTTCTAGATCCAAGTGTTATCAATTTCTCCCCTGCCAAGCCTCATCTCTCACGGACGAAGAGCCCCATGCTCGCCCATTCTCAACTATTTATTCGCTACTCGTCAACCAATCAGCAGTTCCCGCAAACATGCCGCCCAAAATTTAGCCTGGAGTCGCGTTGAATGTGTACCCTGGTTTTAAAACCGGGGTGCACATTCAGCTGAATGTGCATCAAAGGTTATCCCTTGACTGAGTGGGTTACGAGGTGTGCTTTCAACCCCTTCAAGTCGAAATTCGTTTCCCCCCTCCCCCGCAATTTCGTTTCCCCACGCCCCCGCAATTTCATTTCCCCCTCCCCGTCGAAATTCGTTTCCCCCCTCCCCCGCAATTTTGTTTCCCCCCTCCCCCGCAATTTCGTTTCCCCCCCCTCCCGCCAATCTGTTTCATCCCTCCCGCCATTCGGTTTCACCCACTCCCGCCATTTCACCCCCTCCCGCCACCTACGAAATGCCCGAAGCTCTAGCGGAATCATTTTTTTGTCGCCCCTCGTGAGCCAATCACTGTTTTTCTCCAAACCCCCTTCCCAACATCTCAAGCCGAACCGCGTTGAATGTGCACCCTGGTTTTAAAAGTTGACCAGAGGGAGTTTTTCTGGTGTGGGCTTTGGCGAGAGTTTCCGATTTCGTATAGGTTCGTTTTTTTCGCGAGACCCAGCCAACCCTCGGTTTTCCCCCTGGTGAGTGAATCTGTCTTCGAAAGTCCCAAATTGCAGGTGCGTGACTTTCAAAAGCTTGGACACTCAACTTCGTCAAGATTTAAAAACTTGACCCTCGCGGCCCGCAATTTGGGACGCGGGCTTTAAGTTTGTTCACTACCACAGTACACTAATGTGAAGAGTGCAAATAAAGATGCAATATAAATTATTTCCACTAGAACTTGGGTGATTTAAAACAAAGCTTTCCAGACTGCATATTAATCATTTGAACGCATTCCTTCACACCACAGAAGTATCATAGATTATACAACAAATTTCTACTTGTGCATGTCAAGTTTCTGGATGCCTGTGAGCAGGGAGGAGGCACAGGGAAGGAAAGGGCAATGGAAAAAAACGAAAGGGAAAACGTCAACCAATTTGACTTGACAGCACTGAGGAACAAGTGGCTGGGAAGGAGAAACTGGAGAAAGGGAAACTTGGGCCAGTAGAATTCGGAGTATTTGGTGAGGGGTGTGCCTGGTGCATGGTGGTGGTGCGGGCAACAGAGTAGCGCCCCACTCATTCCAGAAGCAGCCAGGTGACTCTTCAGAAGTGACTGGAAAGGATGTGATGAGGTCTGTGCCTGGTGCATGATGGTGGTGCGAGCAACGGAGCAGCGACCCGCATTCCAGGAGCAGCCAGGCTGGCAGAAGTTGGTGTGGCTGCCCTCATAAGCGCGTGGGGCGGCAGACTGCCACATCAGCGACCGGCAGACGCCCCACCCGCGGCAATTCAGGGAGCCATGCCAATTTAAGGTGGTGCTGGTGTCTCTGGGGGGAGCGTACATGCACACACAAGGTGCCACTCACATGCTATGGCGTGGTGTGGTCTACGGCTGCTTGCCTAGGCTCCATCGCAGCAGCCCCATTGCAAGGCGCATCACAAGGCGTCCCATCAAACATGGGTGCAGCCACCACAGTGCAGCCACCACAGTGCAGCCACCACAGTGCAGCCACCACAGTGCAGCCACCACAGTGTGCAGCCACCACAGTGCAGCGCTCTCCACATGCAGTAAGGTGGTCCGCGGGTCCGGGCCTACTCAACGCTGCAAGCCATTGTGAGGCACCCTGCGAATTTCGTCCCATCAAACGTGGGTGCAGCCACCCACAGTGCGGTGCTCCCCACACATGAGTGAACGATGGTGCAGTGCAGTGGCTCCTTGCTGCTGCCAACGGCACCTATACCTGCACATGTGTCGATATTCGGCACAGAATGAACACACGCGGTGCAAGTGGTTCGGGTTTGGCCTGCTGGCAGGCACAATGAGTCACATGGCTGAAGGGCAGTATGGAAGCATGGAAGCATGGCAGCATGGCAGCATGGCCGCGTGACAGCATGTGAGGGGTGCATGGAGGACAGGAGCCCAAGATTGAGATAGACCGCCATGGCAAAGCCAGTTCGGCCCACTCAAGGCGCGCATCATTCCCAACCCTCTGCAAGGCAGCGCTGTAGGCACCCTTCACTAAAAGCACAGCCAGTAGGTTGAACTGCGCTTTGAAGACATAAGGCGCCATGTGCAGTGGGACAAGCGAAATACATAGAGAGTGAGGTCATGCACAGGGTGACAGGCATACGGTGGTAGCGCCATTGTATAACAGTCGTGCACTAGGTGAAACATAAGGCGCCATGTGCAGTGGAACATATGAGATGTGCAGCGACTGGGGACACGCAGAAGGAGACAGTGCCAGTGCAATGATGCTTCAAATCCCCATGCCGCACATCCCCATGCCGCACATCCCCATGCCGCACATCCCCATGCCGCACATCCCCATGCCGCACATCCCCATGCCGCACATCCTCTAAAAGCCTTGCTACTCACATGTGATGATTATGGTGGTGATGAAGATGACACCACTGTGAGGACTAACATCGGGAGTGACGGGCGAGGACGGACGTCCGCACCATGGGAGGCTCGGCAGCATGTCAGGCTCGGCACCACAGCAGGCTTGGCAGCATGGCAGGCTCGGTGACGACCCTGCGTGCAGAGGGGAAAATTGCCTCCTGAGGCGAATGAGGAATGGCATTTACACGCATGTAAGAAAAAAAGAGGACGAGGCAAACCGGAGATGTTTCCAGGGCAGCGATGGTGCAAGTCACTCAAACGACCCGCATCTCTGGGCTGCTTTGAGGAATCAATCGAATCAAATCTTATCAGATAAGATTGGATCGGATCGAGCTATGTGGGCATCCTGAACATAAGGCCTGGCAGGGAGACAACGCTGCTGCCACGCCTCGGAAAGAGTAATGCCCGGAACCACCACCCCCCCCTCGCCACCCCATCACCACCAGCACCACCATCACCCCATCACCAGCACCAACACCATTGCCACCATCACCGCCATCACCCCCATCACCACCACCCCATCACCACCACCTCATCACCACCACTCCATCACCACCACCCCATCACCACCACCACCACCATCACCACCACCAGAAATCGATACACAGCATATGCAAGCTGCGCAACATGGGTTGGACGACAATTCAGGGGAGTGGGAAGTGGGGGGTGGGGAGCGGGGAGCGGGGAGTGAGGACGGGGGAGTGAAAAGAGGGGAGCAGGGAATGGGGGCGCGGCGGATTGCGGAAATGACGCGCGGAACGGTCATCAATACAAGCACAGCAGCACGCACCTGCGTTGCTACCGAGCGGGCTCGACGGAGCGTCAGTTCGAGGCGCCATGGCTCGAACCAACGACACGCGCCTTTCGAGGCGCCTCAAGGGGAGCGCCGGGGCGAGGCGAGGCGAGAGGCGCCATGCGTGGAATCGGCGACGGGCGCAGAGATCGACGGCTCAGATCGAAGGGTGAGCTGCAGCCAACAGAGCACTGACCGCGCGCGCCACCAGTCGGCTCCCTCGTGGCTCCCGCGTGGATCCACGTGGCTCCTGCGCGGAAGGGACTCCCACGTGGCTCCCGTTGTTCAGGCGATCGCTGGTTTGAGCCTTCCATACTCCTGCCAGTTGCACGTTGTAATGGTGCGGGGAGAAAGAGAGCGAAAAGAGCAACAGGATCAGCCAATGGCGAAGCGGCGACGCGTGAGGAGGCGCGGAAATCATCGATGCGGGGAGGCGCAGAGGGAGCAGGCGGCACAAAGCGCGCTGAGGGCGCAGAGGGCGGAAGGGGGAATGTCCGCTAGCCCCATGACCGCGGATCCCATTGGGGGGAAGGCGGAAAAGGGAGGGGACGCGGAGGGACGATGTAGCGTCGGATTACGGGGAGAGGAGCACTGGTAGGCCCCACTCCTGAAAAGTCGACGCGAGAAAGCTAAGCCCTTTGAAACATGTCAAGCGGTCAATTGTTGGGAGAGGGTTACGAGGAAAGTGGACTGGTAGGCCCCACTCCTGAAACGTCGACGCGGGCAAGCTAAGCATTCTAACACGTATCAGACGTTTAGTTGTAGGGAGAGGGTTGCGGGAAGAGGGCTCGGTGGAAAGGGTTAGGAGAGGGTTACGGGGAAAGGGGCACTGGTAGGACCCACTCCTGAAAAGTCGACGCGGGCAAAGCAAAGCTTTGAGCCGGGCGAGACGAACGAGAGGCAGTGGTGGGGCGTTGGGGGGGGTGGGGAGGGGTGGGGGTGAGTTCGGGGAGAGGTAAAAAGGTTTGGAGGAGTTGTGCAGGAGAATCAACGAGGTCCCACCTGGGAGCTGCGAGGCGCGGCGCAGGTACACACTGACGGCTGGCCGTGTGTTCACCGGCTAGTGTCGGCCGGTTTTGTGTCGATGGTTGTGTCAGCCGACAAGTTTCCGCCGGCTAGTGTCGGCCGGCTTGTGATGGCCGGATGAGAAGCTGGAGGGCGCGGGGAGAGAAGCGGGGAGGCGAAGGGGAAGGGAAGGGAGATTGAGAAAGGCGGCACGCGAATGATCCGTTCGAAACAGAAAAGTGTGCCTAAACGTTGAATGCTACAATACACCACAACTGCGATTGAGAATAGTGCGCGTGATAAAACATAGTAATGCTCTGCGGAGAGAGAGGGAGAGAGACGTAATTGCATAGGAGGCTCCTGCAATATTGGTGTTACAATTGAAAATTCTCAAAAGTAACACCAATATAGCTGCGGAGAGAGGGACGGAATTGCAAAGGTGGGATCCTGCATCAGAGAGATTCCCATTAATTCCGTATTTTGGATCGGTCACTACTCCCTTGGGAGTTCCGATGTCCCTACGGCATCATCACGTGCAGGAAAGTGGTGTGACAGACTGAGGCAGGGAAAGAAATGGACACACACACGGCAAGACGTCAGACTTGTCAAACCAACTGAATGACATGGCGTTGCCAATAAGAGCGCACTGTATTGCTCTGCGGGTTAAAGGGATTGCTCTGCAGTGTGCCTCCCCCAAAGCAGGCCCCGCGCACGAGTTTCCGCCCGCACCCCAAAAGAGGCACGCGGCGGATGCGGGGAGCGCAAGGAGGGGAGCAGCCACACCGCGCGCGGAAGCACGAGGCATGCGCGAGTGCGTCGGTATGCGCACGGTTCAAATCCACGCTGGCACGGATGAATGCATGCCGCGTGGAAGAACATCCATGCGCTGACGTGGCACTGCATGGTTGGAGCAGAACGGCAGTGATCCTGGGCAGCATCCGGGGTTCCGCAATACGGCCTGAGATTGTTTATTCCGGCAATCGGGACTCGCCCAATTTCTCATGCCCTCACCTCATTAATTCAGCAGCGCCAAGGCGCCACGCAGCAGAGCGGAAAGGGCGGAAAGAGCGCGGTGACGGAAAAGGGCGGCATGAGAACCTGCATTTGGGATTGACAGAGCGAAACGGAAAGAGCGAACGAGACACGCGGGAGGGAGGCTTTGTCATACTCAGTATGATGAGGCCTGAGATTGTGGCTCTGCGCTTACTTCAACGTGACTCCATTTGCAGTCTACTTTCGTTATGAGCACCTCCGCATTGAGGCTGGTGCGACGGGGAATCGACGAGCGGCGAGCGAGCTCGCGCGGCGGCGGCGATGCAGAGGCAGCCTCCGCATCGCCGCAACCGGGGCTCCGCCCGCGCGCGTCGCTGCGCCAGCCCAAGCAGGGAGGCGGCGGGCGCTCTTTGCGCAGCGATACGGCCGCCACCGAACCTATCGAGCCGCGCCGACGCCGCACCCGAGGGTACGGCACGGACAGCTTCGAGCGGCGGCACGAGAAATCGCTGCGCGAAAACTAGTTTGAGCTTTCCATTGTGCGAGTAACCGATAGCGGCTGCGTAAAGCGGCGGGGAAACGAGAACAGTGCGTAGAAAAAGTGCGGTGCGGCAGTCAACAGACCTTCGAATACTCGGGGAAAACAGAGCGAATATGCGGATTATTATATGTCATTTCAAGACGCCACTCACAAAAACCCACCTTGCAGTCATCGTCTTTAGGCATGGGGACGCGGCAGATCACGAGCCTTTAACGGCCGCACACAGCCGAGCGGGTTCGTTCCGGCTGCACTGGATCAGAAGCCTACTCGCGCGCAGACGCAACGCGCTGAGTGCGGAGCAACACCGCGACTCCGCGGAAGGCCGATGACAAGCCATTGGGGCAACGTGCCAGACACGGAATTGGAGTTCGGGCTGCTGCTGTACACGTGAAACAGGGCTTTCGTTTGCTGCTTCAGCTGCTCCCAGCCCTCTCCAACCGAACAAGAACCGAGGACTCTCGAGCAGCTGAAAAAACAAATCCCAAGGGCCCTCGGTGGCTTCCCACCAAAATTGAGAGCGGAGTACAGTGCACCTCCTGATTGAGAGCATTGCAATTTTATAAGATTGAAATAGATGAAAAATGAAGCTGATATACCTCTATGTACAAAAAACTACAGTAAGTAGCCTCAGGGTGTCTCTACAGCAAAAGGAACTATACCATTAGCTTGCAAACTACCATAACTGCTACAGATTCTCGAATTCATTCATCAATCAGCTTCTCTCCTCCCTGCCCCTCCAAGCTCCAGTCACCCCCTCACCTTCTCCCTCCCCCCATCCCGCTCCCCCCTCCCCCGTGCCCTTCCTCCCCCGACTCCCCTCCATCTGCCACGTCATGCAGCTCACCACCATCCCTGTTGGCTCTGCTGACATCATTCCTGGTGTCAGCATCTCCTGCTGACGTGGCAGCAGGGGAATCATCAGCAGCAGCAGGTGGGACGGGCTCAGCAGCTGGCGAGACTGCAGAGTCCAAAGCAGCAAGTGCTGGGGGGTAGGGACGATGGGGACAGGGAGGGGACGAGGGGAACAGGAGGCGGCATTTGAATGGAATCGTAAGGACCATCAGCAGCAGCGGGTGGGAGGGAAGCAGCAGCTGGAGACTGCAGATTCCAGTGCAGCAAGTGCTGGGAAGATAGGGATGAGGGGATGATGGGGTGCAGGGCGGGGGGGGGGGGGGGGAAAGAACAGGGGCGACGATTGAGTCAAAGCAAAAGGACCATCAGCAGCAGCGGGCGGGAGGGAAGTTGCAGCTGAAGGGACTGCAGAGTCCAGAGTAGCAAGTGCTGGGGGATAGGGAAGATGCGGACGACAGGGGGGGGGGGGGGGGGGGTGGGGGAAGGGGCAGAGGGGAACAGGAAGCTGAGTGGAATTAAAAGGGTCATCAGCAGGAGCGGGTGGGAGGGCGGCAGCAGCTGAAGAGACTGCAGAGTTCAGAGCAGCAATTGCTGGGGTGGGGTGGATGAGGAGTGGGAACCTTAGTTGGAATTGACGGAGCTAGCGTTTTTTACGGAACGTTTTTTACGGTCCGTTTTTTACGCTAGACGAAACCCTCCGAGAGTTTGACGGTGGTTTTGACGCTCTGGCGGGCAGGCAAAACAAAACCTTCGGACAGCCAAAAAAAAAACCAGGGGGGGGGTCTCGGGGGGGGGGGGGAGGAAGGTAAGAGGGTTGTTGAACCTTCGGGCAGCCAACAATGAGATGTACTAGGGTTGGATGGAGGAAGCCATGACGGTAGGATCAGTTTCCACTAAAAACGCTAACCCTAATGTCGCGCGCGCTAAGCTAGGAATCGAGTTTGCTGCTGGTCGTAAACCAAGAATGAAGTCGAGGGAGTTGTGCTTGTGCTAAATGTGTGTGTGCAGGTTGCATTTTGTAGTTGTTGAGCGGTTGAAAGGGGTGGGGGGGTTGTTTTTTGTGTTGTGGGTTTTCAGTGTGGTGCAATGTCGAGTGAATTTTGAAGTCGCGTTTTCGGCGCGAACTTCAATGTTTATTTTTTTTTGCGCGATTTTTTTTTCCGATTTCGGGCTGCCCAAAAACTTTTGGGGGGACCGTCAAGCGTCAAAGTCCCCGTCCAGCGTCCAGCGTCAATTCCATCTAAGGTGGAAACAGGAACGCCGGGAAGAGGAAAGCAGTGGGGGCAAGAAGGGCGCAGGTACAATTAGGGTTAGAAAAAGGTCAGGCAAGCAGGTGCTACCTGCAGCGAAGGACCTCCAAGCACCATCAAACGGAATGCTTATAACCTGAAACCAACATTCTTGATTGCCCTCACCAAACACCCAGCAAGCAGTTACTTCCATGTCTCAACCTGCCCCAGTAGTACCTGCTCCAATCACCTGCCCCAGTAGTACCTGCTCCAATCACCTGCCCCAGTAGTACCTGCTCCAATCACCTGCCCCAGTAGTACCTGCTCCAATCACCTGCCCGGTAGTACCTGCAGCAATCACCTCTCCCAGAAGTACATGCCCCAATTACCGTACCTGCCCCAATCACCTGCCCCAGTGGAACCTGCCCCAGAAGTACCTGCCCCAGTAGAAGCTGCCCCAGAAGTACCTGCCCCAGTAGTACCTGCCCCAGCAGTACCTGCCCCAGCACTACCTGCCCCAGTAGTACCTACCCCAGCAGTACCTGCCCCAGCAGTACCTGCCCCAGCAGTACTTGCCCCAGCAGTACCTGCCCCAGCAGTACCTGCCCTGGTTGCAGACTGGGCCATGCGTGCTGCAGCAGAGAGCTCCTCCTGGTGTGCGTGGAACCAGGACGCCTGAAGGGGAGGGGGAGGTGCGGTGAGGAACAATGAGAGAGATAGGAAAATGTGCAGCAGAGATCTCCTCCTGGTGCGCGTGGAACCAGGACGCCTAGGGAAGGGAGGATGGGGAGAAGAGGAGGGAAAGATGGAGGTGACGGTGCAATGAGGATGCGATGAGATGCAGCAGAGAGCTCCTCCTGGTGCGCGCGGAACCAAGACGCCTGAGGGAGGGGAGGGGGGAAGGGGACGGGAGGTGCGAGGAGGATGAGATGAGATGAGATGAAGGATAAGAAATGTGCCAGTGCGGGACAAGAAAATAGGACCATACATGCTGCAGCAGAGAGCTCCTCCTGGTGGACGTGAAACCAGGACGCCTGAGGGATTGGGAGGGGAGGGGAGTTGAGTGTGGAGATGAGGTGAAGAAGGGAGTGAGGCAGCACATGAGCCATCCCTGGTGGGCGTGAGTTGACTTTTGAGTTGACTCAAAAGTCGATTGGGAGGGGAGGGGAGTGGAGTGTGGAGATGAGGTGAAGGGCGGAGTGACGACGGCACATGAGCCATCCCTGGTGGCCGTGAAACCAGGACGCCTGTGGGAGGAAGGGAAAGAAGAGGTGGAGGGGAGTTGGGCAATGGGATGAGGTGAAGAACAAGAGGAGAGGGAGCAGTGTGGAAGAAGCTGGGCAGAAAGAGAAGGAGGGCGCATGAGCTCTTCCCTCTGGGCATGGGACGAGGAATCCTGTTGGGTAGAGAGGCAGGAGGGCAGAGGGGAGGGAGAGAGGGCGAAGAGGATGAGATGGGGTAAAGGATGGGGCCGTCATTGCATGCAGTGCTGTATGCTCATGCACGTGGTGTGGCATACATGGCATTTCAGCATACCACAGCCAAACTAGGTAGAACCATGCAGCGGTCCATGGTCATTACGCGCAGTGCTGTATGCTCGTGCATGTGGTGTGGCATACATGCATTCCAGCACACCGCAGGCAAACTACACAGAACCATGCAACAGTTCACGGTCATTCTAGCATACCATAAGTAGGCACGTGTAGCGAGGTTTTTTTTTAGACGTCTCAAAAACAACCATGCAGTAGTTCACGGTCATTCTAGCATACCATAAGCCTAGCATAACGACTTTTGAGGCGCCTGAAAAGTCATTCCAACATACCATGAGCCTAGCAACATATGCTTGTAACACTTTCGAATCTTCTCAAAAGTAATCTAACCGCATTCCAACATATCAAATCACTAGCAAAATATACCATCCTTATTCATGGTTGCTTCTCAGGCTATATACCGTGGGGCTGGGAACGCATACCATGTAGTGACTGCTTCTCGCACCATACACCAGAGGCCTAGCATGCAGCGGTCGATGCTAACAAGCGCCCTGTCAATGTGCCGCTGGTGCTGCTGCAGCAAGCTGTTCCCTACCTGATGATCCATCTAGCAGTTGCTGCTTAGACCAGATACCAGAGGCATGGCAGCACATACCATGCAGCGGTCAATGCTCATTAACGCACCGTCAATGTGCCGCCGATAGCGCGGCAACAAGCTATTCCCAACCTGAACCATCTAGCGGTTGCTTCTCAGACCATATACCAGACGCCTGGCAGCACATACCATGTAGTGACCGCTTCTCGCACCATACATCAGAGGGCTGGCAGCACATACCATGTAGTGACCGCCATACATCAGAGGGCTGGCAGCACATACCATGTAGTGACCGCCATACATCAGAGGGCTGGCAGCACATACCATGTACCGGTCAATGCTCATTAGCGCCCCGTCAATGTGCCGCCGGTAGCGCAGCAGCACGGGCCTCAGGTGACTAGCGTACAGCCGCCCTGCACCCTGTGGTGTTGTGCGGTGGGGCATGGTTGGTGGTATGGTGAAATGGTTAACAGCGGTGTGGTATGATGGCATGATGAGACAGTTGCATGGTAGTATGGCGTCACATGGCAAGATGAGAGAACAGCAAGATGGCAGGATAACAGTCACACGGGAATGCCAGTTGCATGGCAACTCATAATCCAGTAACCCGCTGCTCTTTACATGCAAGGTCGGGATAACGGATTGGGACCAGGGGATCACCAGAGGAACCCTGGAGGAGATGTTGTACCACTTCGCGCGGTGCACCTCGGAGCGCAGCAAGGCCAGAGTGCTGTCGAAGGTAGCCACCCCGCTCCCGTTCCGCTCCCCGCTCCCCTGATCGCTCCGTCGTTTGAGGTGTTGTTCGGAACGCTTGATTTACTCACAGGTGCTCATCGCACTGCCCACCAATGTCGATCTGTCAAAGAACGTCATCTGTAAAATCCTGCTCGACCGACTGGGGGATTTTACGGATGACGTTCTTCGACAGATCGACATTGGCGGGCAGTGCGATGAGCACCTGTGAGTAACTCAAGCATTCCGAACAACACCTCAAACGACGGAGCGAGCAGGGGAGCGGGGAGCGGAACGGGAGCGGGGTGGCTACCTTCGACAGCACTCTGGCCTTGCTGCGCTCCGTGGTGCACCGCGCGAAGTGGTACAACATCTCCTCCAGGGCTCCTCCTTGCACCAAGGGAAGTGGGACGGAGTGTTGCACAGGGTGGAGACCAGAGCAGTTCAAGCGAAGAGGAATGCAGACGATATTGTACAAGAAATAAACACAGGAAGGTGCGGCCATAAAAAGGAAAGTGCCCGAAAGGGCAGAGATAAATGAAGACGAAAACTTTGGCAGTGCGGGGGGGAATAGGTGGAGGGCAGGTGAAGTGTAAGAAGGGAATGAGAAGGGAAGAAGGGAAAGTAAGTCAAGAAGCAAGGAAGTGAGAGGGTAGAGAGGAGAGAATTACCGTGGCTGGGCGGGAGAAGGAGGTGGAAGGCAGCTGCAACCAGAGCAGCAGGAGGAGCTTGATATGCTGGTAGAAGGGTAGCCTTGGGGGGGAAGGTGGGGAGAAAGGAACACGTGATGCACTTGTATTGGGGCATGCAGTACAAGAGGAGGTGGAGGGCAGTTGCAGGCAGAGCAATAGGAGAAGCTTGATGTGCTGGTAGAAGGGCAGCCTGGGGGGGAGAGGGAGAGGGGGGGAGGAAGAAGCGGAGGGCATGATATGGTCACAGCAGCAGGAGAAGTGCAGCTGGATGTACCGGTAAAGGGTAGCCTGGGGGGGGGAGAGGGGGAGGGAAGAAGCGGAAGGCATGATATGGTCGTATTGGGCCATGCAACAGCAGCTGAATGTGTTGGTCGAAGGGTAGCATGGGAAGGGTGAGAGGGTTTAAAGGCAAGGAAGAAGCAGAGGGCACGATATGATGGGAACGGACGAGGAGGAGGGTATTGGGTGCTTGTATGTATCAGCGTAAGGAGCCGTGAGGAAGGGGGGAGGGGGAGGAGGGGTGCGGGGGGGTTGGTGATGGGAAGGGGGGTGCGAGAGTGGTGGAGAATCGAACTGCACATAGTGATTACACATCGTGATTACACATAGTGATTACACATAGTGATTACACATAGAATGAGGCAGGAAGAAGTGGGGGAGGAAAATGAGTTGGGTGGGTGAGAAGGGGGGGGGGAGGGGGGGGGGGGGGGGGTTGGGAAGAGAAAAAGACAAGAGACGGGGGGAATGATGAGGGTGATATGAGCGAGGGAAGAGGCAAAACGAGGTATGGAAGAGGTATGGTAGTATCACTCACCATGATATGATCCTGTCTGTGATTGTCTCCACTACCCGAAAGCAACCGTACACTGCCATGCATGTCATCAATCCATCATGCCATGCATGCCATGATGTAGTGCCACGTTTGTGAATATGCACAAGGAAAGACGAGTCGCATTTGTTGCCGTGGCATTAAATGTCATTGGAGGTAAGCAGTTGCAACTGCAACTGAAACTGCTACTGCTACTGCTACTGCTACTGCTACTGAAACTGCTACTGCTACTGCTACTGCTAGAGAGGACCACATAAAGGGACACTAACTAGCGCCAGAATTCTCACCCCACCACCCTCTCCACTCACTGCACCCTCTCCACTCACTGCACCCTCTCCACTCACTGCACCACCCGCACCACTCACCCGACCAGAACGCAAGGCATCTGTTGCGATCCGCCTGAGAGCCCTCAACACTGTTGCTCCGCCACTGCTGCACTCCTAATATGAGGTGAACAGGCAGGTATCACTCTCAACTGACCACCCTCACCACTGCACCACCCGCACCACTCACCCGACCAGAACGCAAGGCATCTGTTGCGATCCGCCTGAGAGCCCTCAACGCTGTTGCTCCGCCACTGCTGCACTCCTAATATGAGGTGAACAGGCAGGTATCACTCTCAACTGACCACCCTCACCACTGCACCACCCGCACCACTCACCTGACCAGTACGCAAGGCATCGGTTGCGATCCGCCTGAGAGCCCTCCTCAATGGCTTTAAACGAGCGGAACACAGGAAAGCCCACGCCCACCACCAGGCTGGTAGTGGGTGGAAATGGAAGGGGTTAAAAGGGGAAGGGAAATGATGAGGTTACTTCGCGCCCTCCTCAATGGCTTCGAACAAACGGAAGACTGGAAAGCCCACGCCCACCACCACACTGGTGGGACCGACAGTGAGGGAAAAAGAGGAGAAGGGCAGTGAGGGAAACAGCCGGGAGCGAGCAAGAATGGTGGGACGAGAGGGGTACCAACAACAAAAGGTCAAAAGAACGGGCAATGAGGCCCAAAGATGATGCTTGATGGCATAAGGCGATTTGAAAGGAGGAGAAGAGGAAGAAGGAGCAGGGAGGAAGTTGGGGGGAGGGGAGATTCATACTTGGCAGCTCGGATGACGATGGACGATGAGCTGGCGGCCAGGAGAATCTGAAGGCCCACCTGCAGGGGAAGGGGACGCGTCGGGAGGAGAGATGACGGTAGAAATGCGTATGGTAGGCACGCCACTGAGGGGGCGAGCATTGTACTTGGCGGCTCGGATGACGATGGATGATGAGCTGGCGGCCAGGAGAATCTGAAGGCCCACCTAAAAGAGGAGAGGGAGGGAGGAGGCAAAAAGGGGAGCGGAAGGGAGGAGAGGAGGGCACAGGAGGCTCGAATGACCATGGATGATGAGCTGGCTGCCAGGAGAATCTGAAGTCCCACCTGGTGGGGGGTGAGGGGAGAGAGGGCAGCACAGAAGGCGAGGGTCGCACTTGGCGGCTCAGATGATAGAATGATGATGAGCTGGCTGCCAGGAGAATCTGAAGGCCAACCTGCAGGGGGGTGAGGGAGGGAGGAGGCAAAAGGGGGAGCGGAAGGGAGGAGAGGAGGGCAGGAGGCTCGGATGACGATGGATGATGAGCTGGCCGCCAGTAGAATCTGAAGTCCCACCTGCAAAGGGGGTGAGGGAGGGAGAAGAGAGGAGGGGAGGGAACCGGGAAACAAGATTGAGGGCGGGATGAGGCGAGGGTCGCACTTGGCAGCTCGGATGACGATGGATGATGAGCTGGCTGCCAGGAGAATCTGAAGGCCCACCTGACGGGGGAAGGGGACGGGTCGGGAGGAGAGATGGCAGTAGAAACGCGTATGGTAGGCACGCCACAGAGGGGGCGAGCATTGTACTTGGCGGCTCGGATGACGATGGATGATGAGCTGGCTGCCAGGAGAATCTGAAGGCCCACCTGACGGGGGAAGGGGACGGGTCGGGAGGAGAGATGACAGAAGAAACGCGTATGGTAGGCACGCCACTGAGGGGGCGAGCATTGTACTTGGCGGCTCGGATGACGATGGATGATGAGCTGGCTGCCAGGAGAATCTGAAGGCCCAACTGACGGGGGAAGGGGACGGGTCGGGAGGAGAGATGACAGTAGAAACGCGTATGGTAGGCACGCCACTGAGGGGGCGAGCATTGTACTTGGCGGCTCGGATGACGATGGATGATGAGCTGGCTGCCAGGAGAATCTGAAGTCCCACCTGGGAGGGGTCAGAATGGGGGGAGAGAGGATGGGAAGAGAGAGGATGGAAGCAGAGGAGCAGGGGTGGGGGCGAGAGCAGCGGAGCAGGGTTGAGGACGGGAGGAGAGGAGCAGGTGGGGACAGGAGCGAGGGAATCCATGACGGCCTGGCTGAACGAGGCGAGGCGAGAGGTAGAGGGAGGAGGGTAGGAGGGGCGGAGGAGTTAGCTATGCAGGAGGACAATTCACGGCCCTACCCATACGTGTCACCCCCGTGCGTCCTACCCCTGCGACTTACCCCTCCTCCTTGCGGCAGTACACCCGAGCTAAACAGGGCCATCGACACGCTTCTGGCCATCGGCGCGCTGCATCCTACTCCTGTGATGTATCCCCCCCCCCGCCCCCCTCCCCCCTCTTTTCCTACCTGTACGTCTTACCCCTCCTCCGTGCAGCGGCACACCCGAGCTGAACAGAGCCATCGGCGCGCTTCTGGAGTCGGGGAGTGTTGCTGCTGGGGAGAAGATGAACGAAGCTGGAGAGAAAAGGAAAACGGACCTGCCCTATGGCTTACCCCCCGTCGCCCTACCCCTGCGACTTACCCCTCCTCCTTGCAGCGGCACACCCGAGCTGAACAGGGCCATCGGCGCGCTTCATCCTACTCCTGTGATTTTCCCCCCATCCCCATCCTCCCCCCCCTCCCCCTCACCCTACCCGTACGTCTTACCCCTCCTCCTTGCAACGGTACACCCGAGCTGAACAGAGCCATCGGCGCGCTGCTAGCCTTAGGAAGTGCTGCTTCTGGCGTCAGAAAGTGTCGCTACTGGCGTCAGGGAGCGTCGCTACTGTCGTCAGGCGGTGATGCTGATTCCGTCACGTAATGTTGCTGCTGGCGTCAGGGACTATCGCCGTCGGGGACCGTGCTCGCTAGCGTCAGGAACTGCTGCTGGCGTCAGTGACTGCAGATTTGGCCTTAGGGACTCTCGCTGCCCGTGACAACCGGCGAAGCTGTTGGCGTCGGGAGTCAAGGCCAAGGGCTGAGAAGTTTTCCCCGCACAGCCGATGCCATCGCTAGCCGACTATGACGAGCCAAGCAGCAGAAATTATGGCGATAAGAAGGGCCTGCAACGTCCGTAACAGCTGCGGCTCAGATTTGCTTAGCGCACGTTGTTGGTGGCTGACGCGATTAATAAACGTGCGAGCTTCGCTTAGTCTACGCTCGTTAATCTTACCCTAAAAACAGATGATGGGCGTGACGGATTAGACACGGAATAACCGAAGAGAGCCTCCTTGCAGCGTCATCCGCAAGTAGAGAGGCCCTGGAAGATCCTTGGGAATTGCGGCTTTCTCGGGTGTGATTGTATTTGGCTCGAGTTTGGAATTCGGCATTCGTGCTATAAAGCAGATTTAGGAAACGTCCGAGTCACAAAATCGCGAAAGCCCAAGTATGTACCTCAAAAAAACATCAAATAAAATGGCATACATATACTATTTAAGAGGTCTCGGTACCAGTCTTATTGGCGTCTATGCCTTATTGCATGTGGCATTATTCCAGCATATAGAGTCTGGCTGGCACCTTACAACATACGTCCAGCCACAACCATCCCCTCCAGCACAGCTCCTTGCCACAACTTATTTATCCAGTACAGATGCATGAAGGCCATGCTTTTTAGTGTGAGCATTCAGTCTCCAAGTCCCATGCTCTTTTCTCAGCTCCACCACTATCAGAGAAGCTCAACCATGCATGGCATGTCATGAAGCAAGAATCATCATGTGAACAAGCTCAACCATGGCATGGCATGTCTGCTTGCTTCCTCACATGGTGGACCACACATCCACCCTCACAACTATCATTTCTCCAGCAACCTCCCACTTCCCCCTCCACCCCCCTCATCTCGCTCTGCCAGCCCTTCATCTCCTCACATCCCTCCACCCACCGCCTCCACTCATCTAACTCTCCCTCCTCTCACTCCCCCCGCTACCTCTGCTCTCCCTCGCCCGTCCTGCAGCCACAGAAGCCCCAGCATCATTTCATTCCACGAGTCCGGCACCCCTGGCAAGCAATAGTGCCCGCAGTCGATGTTACCCCCGCCGGAATACCCCCCGGGATGCCCATCCCATCGCATTAACGACATCCCGAAAATGTCCAGAAGCATCAGCGGCGCGCCGTGCCCGCGCTTCGCCCGACGCGCCTCGTACCGCCGCGCCACGTCAGCGAGAAGGATGTTGTACTTCGCTTCGGGATAATCCTTCGAACGCGCCGCCTCCGCACTAACCGGCTGCGTGGCCGAACAGCTGCCGTGGAACCCGTGCGTGGGCGGCACGAGCGTCAGAACTACCTGCTTGCCGGTACTTCTAAAGTCCTCGAATGGTCGGAGGACGGAGTAGAGCGCGGTCTGGTACGCGTCAAATAGCGGCACGTCGGTGTTCGGGCTCGCAAAATGAATGTTCTTCCCCTGTATGCGCACCGACGACCACCATTGCCCTGCGCTTATAACGAAAATATCGTGTTCGTTAAAGTGCCGGAACCACCAGTCGTCGGGATTCTCTAGGTCGAGCTCGCCGCCCGTGTTGAACACGTGCTGGTCGATCAGGGTGAGGTTCACGAGGAAATGGCTCCAGTAGAATGCCACCGTGGCGTTACAACTCGGCCAGTGGTACACTTGCGCGTACGGATGGCTGCCCAGGACATCGGGTTCGCCTTGCGTACCGAACATGATACACGCGAGCGAGTTGAAATGGTTGCGTACGATCGAATCGCCCACGTACGCGACGTTCCTGTTTCGCATCAGCTCGCACGCGCTCTTCGCTGTCAGCTGCGGCATCGCGTCGCAGCCGCCACCCGCCGCCGTCGCACCGCTGCCCGCCGTCGTATTGTCGCGCGTCGGTCGCCACCGGAGCTTTTGGTACCCTTTATCCGGTCGCCCGTGCGCGTCGCACTGCGTCGCAGCGTGAATAAACGGGCAGTCAAGACTGGAATACAGCGGTCGGTTAGCATCCGCCTCCCACATTCCGTCGCTGATGTCGCACGTCGTCGAAACGTCGCCAGCCCCAGCCGCTGCGCCAGCTGCATTGTCGCTTGCCTCCGCTGCGAGCGCGGAAATATCAAGGGAACGGGAAGCGGGTGACGCGCGGGACTCGAGAGAGCTGGCGGAAGCGGCAGCCGGGGAATTGCGAGCCGTTGCGACAGGACTTGAAGAGCCGCGATCATTGGCGACGGCGCTGCGACTAACGGCGACTGCGTTGCGACTCCGGGCTTCGGCATGCATGCCGTCATCAACGTAAATCTCGACCGCGCCAATGGCGGATTCCGGTTGCTCGATGATGATGGTGCCCGACAGGAGCGTCTCCTGCTCCCGCACGCCCAGCTCGTGCAAGCCTCTACTGCGCGACGGCGCGGCGTGACGTGGATCTGCGGGCCGCGATGTCGGCATCTCACCTAGTTTTCTGCCACGTGGGCTGTCGGTAGCTGGTCGAGTAATCGTGAAACTTGCAGCGTGTGCTTGTAGGGCGAGCGCGACAGCGACGAGGAGCATTGCGATTGGAGCGTGCCGTGGTGCATGGTGTGGAGCACGATGCGGTCTGATTGCGGTCATTGTGATGGTGCCGTTCTACTTACTAGTAGTATCACGAGTGATTGGTTGTCCGTGATGAGCTACCGCGGAAGAACAAGCTACCAATAGCGCAGGACGTAAGAGCAATTATACAAGCTCTTGAAGAAGGCGGAATTTGGAAGCATGGGTAAAGAGTCGGACGGAGCTTTGAGCAAGAGGATGACTCAAAGAAATGATAGGAACATGTTGTCAGTCTCTGTGGATGAGAGCTCACTGAGAGTGATGCAATGGAGTGAACCAAAAGCGAGGTGAAATGAAGATTGAGCGACAGAGGGTAGAGGAAATGACGGATCGCCCTGATTTCAAGTTTCCGATTCCTTTGGGCAGTGGCTTTGACACCGCCTTGCTTCTCCGCTAGCGTCCAATTCCTTGGGGCAGCTGATTTCGACATTTCCAATTTCCTGTGAGCAGAAAAATTCTGAAGTTTACCTGGTTCTAGTTTAGTGGCCAGTGGAAAAAATAAACCCCTCTCGGATGGCTGGCCATTTGGGAGGCATCAACCCTGAACACCTTGCCTCATGGTGTTTGGGGTTGATGCCTCCCAAATGGAATGCTCTCCATGAGGGGCTATATTTTTTGTCCCGAGCTTCTCGTAATTGACGCGACAGTTCAATTTATGATATCCCGATAAATAAACACAATATTAGTATCTGGACTTGAAAAGGGGCAATAGCGTAAATAACTGACAGAAGGTATCGGACTCGAGCGCGAAGCAAGACGGTGTCAAAACCACTGCCGAAAGGAATCGGAAACCCGAAACCAGGGCGGTCCGTCATTCCCTCCGGAGGTAGCTCCATACTCCGAGTTTCTCCCATGGCGCAAGGCGACATTCGAGCTTCAATTTCCCCCAACCAGCTGGTGGTACTTGCGAGAGCGGCGACAATGTGCGAAAATCTCACACGAGAACCCTTGATTGGTCAGGTGAAGTGGCCAGCAAATATTTGGTTGGAGGGGGCTGAATCAGTTACCAGCTGTGGACGCGGCAGGTGCAGACCTTGTTTTCGCCAATAACCAGCTCAAGTCGCCACGAGGAGGGGAACTGTGGGGTGGCGAAATTTGCAACGTAGTGGCGAACAACCTGAGCTCCGTGGCACACAGCTGTGCATGTGGGGGAAAGTGTGGCAGCGAGGCGCATGAGGGGAAATGGGTCAGCTGGGGGTAGGCTGCGCGAGGATGGTCATACATTACTGAGTGATATTGCAAGGTTGAAATGCCAAATACATGTATTGGGTTTTCCAATGAGTGTGCTCTATTACGGTAGTTTCACTCACACCCACGCTCCAAGATCACGTGGCATACAGCATGCTGTTACGAGTGCAATTGAGCGAGTGAGCTAGAATTGCACTATCGAAGCAAAACACTACAATGAGTGAAGGCATGAGCGAAGAATATATCCCGAAGCTAGCGTGGTAACAGTAACGCGAGAAAATGGGATGCGCTACGGGCCTAACGCCGAGGTTGGGAAATGTCGAGGCGGAGGTCCGGAGCACGGGTTACCAACCAAACCGTGAGGTTTGTCAGAATAATTGTGCAGGAATGGATGAACTATGAATGAGTTGGGTAGAAGTACTAGCCCTAAAGTGTTGTACCCCTTGTAGGCTAACCCACTATAGCATAGAGAGCACACAAACAAACAGTTTGACACACCCCCATAGGCCAAGTGGTGTTGGGCTCAGAAATATCCCTTAGGATCTTTCAAGGCTAAGATCTAGGTTGAAGTAAGAATGTT